CCCTTCCAAGGACATCACCCCCTCTCCCTCCCTCAAACCTGCCAACTCCGCGCTTCCCCCCTTCCCGCCGTCCTCTCCCTCCCTCCTTACATGATATGGTCGTAGGCCAAGGCCATGAGGGAAATGGTGAGCCCGGCGATGGAGATGCCCGCTTCGGCCTGGACCATCGTCACGATGGTGGCTGGCGCCAGCATGGGGAAGGGCGGTAGATTACCCATTATTCCTCCTCACCTCCCTCTCCGCCTGTCCACCTGGTCCCTAGCTGACTAGGGGTACAGCCAGCGGCTTAGCTCTGCGTAATGATGGGCATGGGATGGAAGACGAGTTTGTCGAGGGGTGGGGAAGGTTCACGATCACTTGGAGGGGTGGTGATGGCGATGTCAGCCCACTGTGTCGTTTCCTCGTTTGGTTATTGCCGCACGGAACGCTCCCTTACTGGCGTAGCCCTTGATTGGAGTCTTAGAGCTCCCTGTGTTATGAGTTCGTCGGGGGAGGGTGCGTGAAAGGCTGGAAAACGTGCAAGAGCTCCATGCCGTGAGGTTCAGAACCCCCGTGCTTCCGAAAGAGTAGTAGTCCTGCCACAGCGTGGGATCCATGCATCTCCGGATCGACACCCAAAAAAGAGCTGTGTGGGTCTATCTAGCTCTTGATCATTCACACAGGAGTGCCCACGCTGGGTGAAAGGTCTCTCCGCTGTTTTATGTCAAGGCTCCCAGTGCTTGAGCACGGCGTACACGTAAGCGTAGGAATGCTCCCGCCAAGCTTCGATCCTGCCATAGGGCAATTACAAGCCCCTACTGTCCTATTAAAGGTCAAGCACAGCGCGGTAGAGGCTTTGCCACTCCTTGAATAGTCTGTCGGAGGACCGACGGCGGGAAAGCATTTCGACCATGTTTACTGGTCAATTCCCAAAGGGTGGAAAGAAGACTGGTTAGATGGGGGGGAGGGCAAGAGAATATCTTGCCCCCCCCCTGGTCCTTTTCAAGACTGGAATTCTTGACATTGACCATGCGGGCTCTACACTCGGAAAGGGGTACACGCCCTCCAGCACATTGAAAAGAAGGGGGCATCCATCGAAAGGCTTCGTTTTCGGACTCGGATGCTCGTATTTTGGGAAATTATGCCGGCACTTTTATCATCGTTCAGCCAGGAGCTCAGCTATCTGTTACGAGCTGCGCTTTGTAGCCCGTCGACTTTGACACCCTTCATTCATGATGGGTAAATTGACCACGTGGCATTGGAGGAATGAGTGTTCGGCACAAAATCTGCTGAAATGTGCCCGCTGATCAAAATGCTTGTTTTGCTGCTTTTGAGGGGCTTGTTCATGGGATGCGGTGCCCTCTTTGCCGGCAGGTAGAGGAGTTGATGTTGTTGTACAACCTACGACATGGACTTGCTGAGTGCCACTTAAGAATGCCGCGTGGGTAGAGGATGCTTGTATGAGATTAAGAAAACCAAGTGTCTGCTTAAAATGCGTAGCGTGTTTTGGATATTTGTAAAGACACGCAGTTCGAGCGGAACTAATCCAAATAGTCCACAACTTGGAAATCGCTTTAATCATCCCGAACATAATTTCAACGCACCCCTACCCAACAATTTGATCTCTTTTCCGACCAATAAGTAGAGGTGAGAACATGCCAATGGCATAAAAGAAATGCCATGCGCTTCCCCCGGACCCCGCCCCGAGGGGCTCCGAGCTCCTGTCACCTTGCGCCTGTTGGTTGTCGCCTCCCCCACCTTCGACACAGCCATGGCCCTGACGGCCTGGAAAGTCGTGCAAAATGCATCCTGTGAACGTGCCAAGTCTCGGGTGCATACCTGGAGGTCGGTTTTCACTGCGTCCGGGAATGCTTCGTCCCGTGAAAGCAGGTGTGGCGCGGGCGAGGAAGGGATGGATTTGGAAGACGGGATGGAGGTGGAAGATCCAAAATTCGACCTTTTGTTGCTCCTGGGGACGTTCGCGCATATGACACGGAGAAAGCGTGGGTCTCTTGGCCCGCATACCGGGAGGAATGAGGCCGGTAGAATAAACAATGAAGGAGGGGACGGGGAGGATGAGGAGGAAGGGAGATGGGAGGAGGTGGAGGAGGAGGAGGTCCCAGGCCGGCTCCCAGCCCTGAATACAGAGACCTGGGTGGGTCAAGCGGCGGTGGAGGGGGATATGATCAATGTAGTAGCCTTGCTGGAGAATGTGGTGTGTCGGGCCTGTGTGGTGCCTGACAGGCGGGACCGGGCCAAGGGCGAGGGGGACGGCGCGGGAAGAACGAATCGCGGGAGGGGAGGAAGGGAGGAGAAGGAGGTGTTGACGTCGACGGCATTGAACGTGCATGATGGCTGCGTCAAGCTGTCGACAGATTTGTATTTGGGCGGTTATGCGTACG